CTGTGCTACCATGTGTTTTGGCTGACACATTCCTTCTCTGACCATTTGTTAAGGCTAGGCTTCAAGAAGACGTCTTAGTTAGACCTGCCAGCAGACAATTCTTAGTTAGACCTCCCAGCAGACAAGTCTTGGTTAGACCTCATAGCAGACAAGTCTTAGTTAGACCTCCCAGCAGACAAGTCTTAGTTAGACCTGCCAGTAGACAAATCTTAGTTAGACCTCATAGCAGACAAGTCTTAGTTAGACCTCATAGCAGACAAGTCTTAGTTAGACCTACCAGCAGACAAGTCTTAGTTAGACCTCCCAGCAGACAAGTCTTAGTTAGACCTCATAGCAGACAAGTCTTAGTTAGACCTCATAGCAGACAAGTCTTAGTTAGACCTCATAGCAGACAAGTCTTAGTTAGACCTCATAGCAGACAAGTCTTAGTTAGACCTCATAGCAGACAAGTCTTAGTTAGACCTCATAGCAGACAAGTCTTAGTTAGACCTCCCAGCAGACAAGTCTTAGTTAGACCTCATAGCAGACAAGTCTTAGTTAGACCTCATAGCAGACAAGTCTTAGTTAGACCTCCCAGCAGACAAGTCTTAGTTAGACCTCATAGCAGACAAGTCTTAGTTAGACCTCATAGCAGACACGTCTTAGTTAAACTTCCCAGCAGACAAGTCTTAGTTAGACCTCATAGCAGACAAGTCTTAGTTAGACCTCATAGCAGACAAGTCTTAGTTAGACCTGCCAGCAGACAAGTCTTAGTTAGACCTCATAGCAGACAAGTCTTAGTTAGACCTCATAGCAGACAAGTCTTAGTTAGACCTCATAGCAGACAGGTCTTAGTTAGACCTCCCAGCAGAAAAGTCTTAGTTAGACCTCCCAGCAGACAAGTCTTAGTTAGACCTCCCAGCAGACAAGTCTTAGTTAGACCTCATAGCAGACAAGTCTTAGTTAGACCTCATAGCAGACAAGTCTTAGTTAGACCTACCAGCAGACAAGTCTTAGTTAGACCTCCCAGCAGACAAGTCTTAGACCTCATAGCAGACAAGTCTTAGTTAGACCTCCCAGCAGACAAGTCTTAGTTAGACCTCATAGCAGACAAGTCTTAGTTAGACCTCCCAGCAGACAAGTCTTAGTTAGACCTCATAGCAGACAAGTCTTAGTTAGACCTCCCAGCAGACAAGTCTTAGTTAGACCTCATAGCAGACAAGTCTTAGTTAGACCTCCCAGCAGACAAGTCATAGTTAGACCTCCCAGCAGACAAGTCTTAGTCCAGCAGACATAGTTAGACTCCCAGCAGACAAGTCATAGTTAGACCTCCCAGCAGACAAGTCTTAGTTAGACCTCATAGCAGACAAGTCTTAGTTAGACCTCCCAGCAGACAAGTCTTAGTTAGACCTCCCAGCAGACAAGTCTTAGTTAGACCTCCCAGCAGACAAGTCTTAGTTAGACCCCTTAGCAGACAAGTCATAGTTAGACCTCCCAGCAGACAAGTCTTAGTTAGACCTCCCAGCAGACAAGTCTTAGTTAGACCTCCCAGCAGACAAGTCTTAGTTAGACCTCATAGCAGACAAGTCTTAGTTAGACCTCCCAGCAGACAAGTCATAGTTAGACCTCCCAGCAGACAAGTCTTAGTTAGACCTCCCAGCAGACAAGTCTTAGTTAGACCTCATAGCAGACAAGTCTTAGTTAGACCTCATAGCAGACAAGTCTTAGTTAGACCTCATAGCAGACAAGTCTTAGTTTGACCTCATAGCAGACAAGTCTTAGTTTGACCTCATAGCAGACAAGTCTTAGTTAGACCTCCCAGCAGAAAAGTCTTAGTTAGACCTCCCAGCAGACAAGTCTTAGTTAGACCTCCCAGCAGACAAGTCTTAGTTAGACCTCCCAGCAGACAAGTCTTAGTTAGACCTGCCAGCAGACAAGTCTTAGTTAGACCTGCCAGCAGACAAATCTTAGTTTGACCTCATAGCAGACAAGTCTTAGTTAGACCTGCCAGCAGACAAGTCTTAGTTAGACCTCCCAGCAGACAAGTCTTAGTTAGACCTCATAGCAGACAAGTCTTAGTTAGACCTCCCAGCAGACAAATCTTAGTTTGACCTCATAGCAGACAAGTCTTAGTTAGACCTGCCAGCAGACAAGTCTTAGTTAGACCTCCCAGCAGACAAGTCTTAGTTAGACCTCATAGCAGACAAGTCTTAGTTAGACCTCCCAGCAGACAAGTCTTAGTTAGACCTCATAGCAGACAAGTCTTAGTTAGACCTCATAGCAGACGAGTCTTAGTTAGACCTGCCAGCAGACAAGTCTTAGTTAGACCTGCCAGCAGACAATTCTTGGTTACAGTTGCCACGGCGTTGCTTTGCTGGCATCTGTACCAGTCTGTAGTAATCAATCATGGAAGGCTATATAGAACCCCCCGGAGCTCTTCTAGACGGGAGATAAGACCCCCCTTCTACTGGAGCTTAAACCCGGCAGGTCTGTGCTGTAAGCTATTGCAATATTCAAGTAAAAAGTAAAGTAAAGATCCCTTTCACGCCTTTAGGCGTATCGGGCATTTGGGAAGAGCGCCCATATTTTTACAGACCATCAGCACTCTGTGGGTAATGTGGTCAGCATTACGCCAGCTGTCTTTACTTTCCCAGGACAGCCCATCCTGGTACCCATTTGAGGCTGGGTCGACCTGCGACGTCCCATACCACGATAAAAATCCACACAGCCCGCAGTGGGTTTCGATCGCGGTACGTTGGATTACGAGTCGGACTCGCAAACGCCTTAGCCACAGACGCCACATTGCAATATTCACTACACTACAAAAAAGTTTTAAATGAAACATTTAGCAAGAAAATGTACAAAAATGAGTCGGAAAACATGAAACTAATACCTTTCATCTTCTTCGTCAATTTTTTTGCTGCAAGAAGAAAAGAATTGAAAGAAAAATGTTATTCCTTATGGAAACGTTAGAAACAACACTGGGGTAATGTATATAACATAATTAAACATGTGGTAAAGTGTAAGATAATTGTTTTCATTGCACTGTGTTTTATACAAGATGGAGAGAGAGAGAGAGAAAAAGGGAGTGGGAAGCTGCAAATAGGAGGCGAATAATGAAAAGAAATGAGGATGAGGAGGAGAAGGTGAAGACTGAGGAAAAAAGAGATAACAATCAGGAGAAAAAGAAAAAAAATTAATGAAAGGTTACAAATAGGGCACACAGCCTATCTTACATTTGACACTTCCAAGCATTCATCTTTTATACAGCAAGTGTATTTTATATATCAGTTGTATTTTATATATCAGTTGTATTTTATATATCAGTTGTATTTTATATATCAAGTGTATTTTATATATCAGTTGTATTTTATATATCAGTTGTATTTTATATATCAAGTGTATTTTATATATCAGTTGTATTTTATATATCAGTTGTATTTTATATATCAGTTGTATTTTATATATCAGTTGTATTTTATATATCAGTTGTATTTTATATATCAGTTGTATTTTATATATCAGTTGTATTTTATATATCAGTTGTATTTTATATATCAAGTGTATTTTTATATATCAGTTGTATTTTATATATCATTTGTATTTTATATATCAGTTGTATTTATATATCAGTTGTATTTTATATATCAGTTTGTATTTTATATATCAAGTGTATTTTATATATCAAGTGTATTTTATATATCAGTTGTATTTTTATATATCAGTTGTATTTTATATATCAGTTGTATATTTATATATCATTGTATTTTATATATCAGTTGTATTTATATATCAAGTGTATTTTATATATCAGTTTGTATTTTATATATTCAAGTGTATTTTTATATATCAGTTGTATTTTATATATCAGTTGTATTTTATATATCAAGTGTATTTTATATATCAGTTGTATTTTATATATCAGTTGTATTTTATATATCAGTTGTATTTTATATATCAAGTGTATTTTATATATCAGTTGTATTTTATATATCAAGTGTATTTTATATATCAAGTGTATTTTATATATCAAGTGTATTTTATATATCAAGTGTATTTTATATATCAGTTGTATTTTATATATCAGTTGTATTTTATATATCAGTTGTATTTTATATATCAGTTGTATTTTATATATCAGTTGTATTTTATATATCAGTTGTATTTTATATATCAAGTGTATTTTATATATCAAGTGTATTTTATATATCAGTTGTATTTTATATATCAGTTGTATTTTATATATCAGTTGTATTTTATATATCAGTTGTATTTTATATATCAGTTGTATTTTATATATCAGTTGTATTTTATATATCAGTTGTATTTTATATATCAGTTGTATTTTATATATCAAGTGTATTTTATATATCAAGTGTATTTTATATATCAAGCATATTATGTTCGTATATTTAAGTTTATAGTATTTATGTAAAGTAAAAATACAACAGCATGGATGACAAATGCCTGGAAGAAGAAGGAAAAGAAGAAGAAGAAGAAGAAGAAGAAGAAGAAGAAGAAGAAGAAGAAGAAGAAGAAGAAGAAGAAGAAGAAGAAGAAGAAGAAGAAGAAGAAGATGAAGAAGAAGAAGAAGAAGATGAAGAAGAAGAAGAAGAAGAAAAAGAAGAAGAAGAAGAAAAAGAAGAAGAAGAAGAAAAAAAGAAGAAAAAGAAGAAGAAGAAGAAGAAGAAGAAGAAGAAGAAGAAGAAGAAGAAGAAGAAGAAGAAGAAGAAGAAGAAGAAGAAGAAGAAGAAGAAGAAGAAGAAGAAGAAGAAGAAGAAGAAGAAGAAAAAAAGAAGAAGAAAAAGAAAAGTAAAAAAAAAAAAGAAGGAGGAGCAGGAGCAGAAGAAGAAGGAGAAGAAGAAGGAAAAGAAGAAGAAGGAGGAGGAAGAGGAGAAGAAGGAGGAGAAGAACAAGAAGGAGGAGGAGAAAAAGAAGAAGAAGAAGAAGAAGGAAAAAGAAAAGAAGATCGAGGAGGAAGAAGTGAGGAAGAGGAGAAGAAAACATGCAATAAGGCCCACCTTGTTCTTGGAGTCTTCTCTGTGATATTGCCAAGTGAGCTACCAGGTGTGTAAACCAGCTCGGTGTCTCGCTCCAGGTCTCTCTTATCAGAAGACAACAGAGGTGTTTCTGCTTTGAGTTGTGATGCAGACATCACTGGAGAAGCTCTGCCAACTATGCTGGGCAGGATGCTCCTGTTTGTCAAAGATTATGATTGTTATCAAATGTTGCTTATGTTCTTACAAGGATTGCGCTGAAGCTATTTGTCATGCAGCCATTGATTCTCTCAAAGGTATAACCAACTCTCTCAAGAATACAAGCAGTTCTATGTGGGATACAAGCAGTTCTATGTGGGATACAAGCAGTTCTATGTGGGATACAAGCAGTTCTATAAAGGACACAAGCACTTCTATCAACTATACTAGTAGTTCTATCAAGGATACAAACAGTTTTATTAAGTTTCTAAGCAGTTCTATCAAGGATACAAACAGTTTATCAAAGACACAAGCAGTTATAACAAGGACATGGTAATATCACCTCTCTATGGACTGTGCTCAATCAGAGTGTTGTTACATGGTAATATCACCTCTCTACAGACTGTGATCAATCACAGTGTTGTTACATGGTAATATCACCTCTCTACAGACTGTGATCAATCACAGTGTTGTTACATGGTAATATCACCTCTCTACAGACAGTGCTCAATCATGGTGTTGTTACATGGTAATATCACCTCTCTACAGACTGTGATCAATCACAGTGTTGTTACATGGTAATATCACCTCTCTACGGACTGTGCTCAATATCGGTGTTGTTACATGGTAATATCACCTCTCTACGGACTCTCTGACATATGGCCACAGTCACTTTCATAATTGCAATCACCCGGTGGACTCACTTGTACACAGAAATTCACCACTTGAGTCCCAGGCAAGCACAACACAGAGAATGACCTTCCCTCTTTCCTGCCTTGTATATATTTCTCTCCAGTTTATGTATTGCATTATTATCACTGACGTTTCTTGTGTGGTCAGTTTCTGTCAGACAACTAACGTTGACAACCCAGAGTGGACATTTCCCCCGTCGCCTCATCTACATTCTGCTCCTCCTACCCAGAGTTTGTCCTTATGTCTAATATGGTAGTTCCTAAAACTACATCACTGCAAAGAGTAGAAAACATCAGCACTAAAACTACATCACTACAAAGAGTAGAAAACATCAGCACTAAAACTACATCACTGCAAAGAGTAGAAAACATCAGCACTAAAACTACATCACTGCAAAGAGTAGAAAACATCAGCACTAAAACTACATCACTGCAAAGAGTAGAAAACATCAGCACTAAAACTACATCACTGCAAAGAGTAGAAAACATCAGCACTAAAACTACATCACTGCAAAGAGTAGAAAACATCGGCACTTAAGAGTGTGTATGGCTTACATAGTTCTTTGGGACATTTTCCTTTTGTCTCTTTCTTTCTGCTTGAATGTGACAAAGGACGAAGAATCTGCCCTGGAGACCTGAGGAGATGCAGGAATACCAAATGTTCCTCCTTCGAGTTCTCCAACCATGCTACGCTCATCCACTACTGAGGAGGTGATTTCCTGGATAGAAATAAAAAATGGTAAAGGCACCTGTTAATTTCAAGAATTACAAGCGCAACATGTGCAACATGTATGTCACAACCAAATATTGAGGTAAATAGCCATGCAGTCTGAAACATATTACAAACACATAAGGTATATGTTAACTTTGCATGTCCAATATGGTAAGTGGACATATACTTTTGTGTTTCCAACTTCTTTCATACCTTTTACAGCTTTAGTGTAGTCACCTGATTTCTCTAACCCTAAAGCATGGGTACCAGGAAGGCTAACAGACCACCTGATTTCTCTAACCCTAAAGCACGGGTACCAGGAAGGCTAACAGACCACCTGATTTCTCTAACCCTTAAGCACGGGTACCAGGAAGGCTAACAGACCACCTGATTTCTCTAACCCTAAAGCACGGGTACCAGGAAGGCTAACAGACCACCTGATTTCTCTAACCCTAAAGCACGGGTACCAGGAAGGCTAACAGACCACCTGATTTCTCTAACCCTAAAGCACGGGTACCAGGAAGGCTAACAGACCACCTGATTTCTCTAACCCTAAAGCACGGGTACCAGGAAGGCTAACAGACCACCTGATTTCTCTAATCCTAAAGCACGGGTACCAGGAAGGCTAACAGACTGCAAAAGCTGCAGCATACAGACAGAATGGCTTGACGAATGTCTGCTCCAAGGACTTTAAAAAACATAAAAGTAAAAAGTTTAAGTGCTTGTTGAATGTTGAATTAAGAATCGACATCACACAATCGGGACACACCCATAAGCGCCCAGTTAACATCTTCAGCAGCAAGCAAAGAGTTTAAATTCTGATGGTACCAGCAACTGTCTGATTGTAAATCCATCTCACCTTTCCCCTGAGTGTTGAGCGTTGGCCAGATCACCTTGTAACTCCTTGCAGTGCCATTCTCCTCAGACCGTAATGATCTATTTGTGCCTCGACACTGTTCACTCGCTCCCAAAGGGTCCTTGCAACATCCAGCTTGTCATACATCAGTTCATCACCAAATGGTGCAAAACCGGCCAGTCTATTTGTCTGCTCATTTCCCAACACACCAGCATAGTCTGGAGAAAATATCCAAAGGATGCTAACTACCCAGGACCTTTGAAGTTATGCTTGCCACTCTGCACAGAACATGTCTGTCTCCACATGCTTTCTCAACATGCTCTGTGAGTCAGTTACAATCACGGCATGTGTATACTGCTAATTTTCAAGCCAGCTGAAGGCAGCAGTGACTGCCTCCACCTCCATTCTTAAACTACGCGTTGTGATGTCATATGCCAGGCTTTGTTGTACCAAGCAACGTCCGTTCGCCTTCGCAATGAAACCCCATGCACTTCTCTGCTCCTCAACACAGAACTATCTAGGCGGAAATTGTCACAAATCATTTGTTGAACTTCTGATTTTGCAGCACCAGCTGGCCAGTCCCTGCACTCACATCCCAAAGTGATTAGAACCCTACAAAAGTTTGAAACCTGATCGGACACTTTGACCTCTCCTCGCCTAAATTTATCAAGCCTGTATACATGTTAATTGTGTCTTCAGCTTGCGCCATCCAAGACTTTCCTCTTTTCAGTCTGTGACCCTTAGCTCTATCCAGGGCTTCATGCAGGAGGTTCCTCTTGTCCGCAGCTACTCTGAGATTTGACTTTGCATGCAGAACTCTAAGCCTATCTGCAATAGTAGGCAGTGTAATTATATATCGCATACATACTACCGGGGTATCTCTTGTACATCCTAGAATTACCCGCATGGCTTCTTTCTGTATGCGTTCAAGTTTCATCAGCTGACTCTTTGATATGGTAAGCATTCCAAGTCCGTAATCTATCACTGATAGGATCCCATGCTGGAACATTGTGAACAGCATTCTTTGTTCCATGTCCATTGCTGCTATAATCTTGAAAGGATTGAGTCATTTTTGGCATTTCACAGCAACTGCATCCACATGATTCCTGAAGGGCAGGCTTCGGCTCTCCTGTCAACTTAGGCCGTTAGCTGGACTGCCGCCGATCGCTTAGTGGGAGTTCTCTACCTTGGCTGCATTGCGAACACGGAGAGGAAAAGTCACGAATCAAATGACCTACTTACCTATCATCATACGGTTGTGTGTACGGTTGCGTAGTCATCATACGGTTACGGTTACCTATCATCATACGGTTGCATGTGCGGTTGCGAAGTCATCATACGGTCATGATGGGGTTTGGGTTAGGGTTAAGCGGCGTTAGGGGTTGGGTTACGGTTAGGGTTAGGGATAGGGTTAGGGTTAGGGTTAGGGTTATGGGTAGGGTTAGGGTTAGGGTTAGGGTTAGGGTTAGGGTTAGGGGTAGGGTTAGGGGTAGGGTTAGGGGTAGGGTTAGGGTTAGGGTTATGGGTAGGGTTAGGGGTAGGGTTAGGGTTAGGGTTATGGGTAGGGTTAGGGGTAGGGTTAGGGGTAGGGTTAGGGTTAGGGTTAGGGGTAGGGTTAGGGGTAGGGTTAGTGGTAGGGTTAGGGGTAGGGTTAGGGTATAGGTTTATGGGTAGGGTTAGGGGTTCTAGGGTTCGGGTAGGTTAGGGTATTCTTTGGTTTCTTTAATCCTTTAGGGTAGGGTAGGGTTAGGGGTAGGGTTAGTGGTAGGGTTAGGGGTAGGGTTAGGGGTAGGGTTAGGGGTAGGGTTAGATGTGACAATTTTGACGTAGGAGTTCCAAATACTGGCCGACAATCTGATGCATGTGGGAGTTGCGCGACTGGAATTCTTCCAAATATGACGGCAATAGCATGCGGCTGGTGCCCCATCGGAGGCGAATTGTCCGTTTGAGTAGCATCCACAGTCCTTCAATTGTTTGGGTGTGTACGTGACTGTGTGCGATTATTTGGAATTCCTGCGTCAAAACTGTCACATCTAACCCTAACCCTACCCCTAACCCTAACCCTACCGCTACCCCTAATCCTAACCTTACCCCTAACCACGCAAATTTATCGGCGGTCATTAAGTCATACAGATCTGTAGGAGTCACATCCATGGCAACTAATTCCACTGTTATTTAAGGATATATTTACTTTAAAAAAAAACCAGATTTCCCCGAAGCGTCAAATAAACAGCCAGATCTGCGGAAACACCCAAGCATTTGCAGCCCTGTTGTCGACCTCACTGCCTTTTTTGATTCGTGTCTTTTCCGCTCCGTGTTCGCAATGCAGCCAAGGGAGAGAACTCCCACTAAGCGATCGGCGGCTTCCAGCTAACGCCCTAAGTTGACAGGAGAGCCCAGGCTTCTATTGAAAATGACATCCAGGTACCTCAGTTTACTCTCTCTTTTGATGTTCCTGTTATTAACTGTGAGATTTGGAACATTAGCTGATAATATTTTCTTGTAACATCCACCTTTGAAACTGTATGCATGGGAAAGTTCTGGAGATAGAAGTCGAAACCAAACTGATTATTTTATGATTAGAAATCGATGTTAAAACAATGTTTGTGAATTGCAGAGTATATCCTGGTGCTGGTGTAAACTTGGTCACAACCCCACTGTTTTTAAAATGCACAAAAGACTTATAAATTCTGGTCAAAAGCATCAAGGGAATCTCAAACAGACATATCAGCATCAAAGCAACCAGATATAAGTCAACAGTATCTGACAGAAGCAAAAAATACACATGACAAGCTAATAGTTGAAAGTATTCAACAATTCAGAGGAGAAAATAAGTACAAAGTGAGAATGTTTTAAAACTAGTATACAGATAGCAAATGCCAACTTACCACTGAAAGAAAGAAAAAATCAGGTATGGATGACTGAAGAAATTATGAATAAAATGATTTTAAAAGATAGAAAGCAAAAAACACTATTGAGTACTCTATAATAGCCACAGAAATTCATAACATGTACAGAGTTGCTAAAGAGACATGGATTTAGGAGAAATGTGAAACATAACACAAAAGAAGCACATATAAACTCAAGAAAGATCACAAACAGGAGATAAAATTTGACAGGAAACAGTTGCATCAGAGGAAAAGATGGAGGAAGTTTAGTTGACAAGAATGATCTAATTAAAAGCTGGACTGAATACACAGAGTATGGTTTAGACAAAATTATTTGAAAAACAAAAAATATGGTACATCACAGTAAACAGAGAGCTAGTAGAACAAGTCACAAGTTGTTCCTATCTAGGACACGTAGTAACAGATGATGGAAGAAGCGAAACAGAAATCAACAAGAGAACAGGAATGGCTAAAATGGTCTTCAATTAGATGATCAAGTTACTGGCAGCTGGAGAGATAAACAACACACTAAAAATTGAGAATCGTAAAATGTTACGTTTAACTTAATCCTGCTGCTGTATGGTGCAGAAACTTGGACAATGAACAAGCAACTAGAAAATGGAATTGAGTCTCTGGAGATGTGGGCATACAGAAGAATAGGTCGGATTTCATGGAGACAAAGACAGCCCAATATAGAGGTTCTGGAAAGGCTACAAATAAAAACAGAATTACTGAAAGAAAGAAAAAATAAACAAATGGAAAACTCTAACCACATTAAAAGCCATAACACACTTTTAAAAACCATACTGAAGAAAAAGGTCAAAGGCAAGAGAGCAAGAGGTAGGCAACAATACAAGTGATAGGACAACATCAAGAGATGGACGGGCAGCAGTCTGAGAGAGTGTACAACCAGGACAAGAGACAGAGCCTGTTGGAGATCTATTGCAGACAACTTCCTCTGTGGAGATGGCACCCGACTGATGATTGATGAGAGTGTCCCAACCATTTTGCCATGCATAATGTTGTTTGTACAACTAGTCAGCATATATTTAGCCTCTAAACAAATTATGAACAGAATTTTATACATTGGTTATTATCTCCCCTCTTCCTCTGTTTTAAAACTGTATTATCTCCCCTCCTCATCTGTTATAAAACTTTGGTGATCAAAGTAAAGATAAAATAAATAGTTATAAAAGGATTATTCAGTTAATTTAAAATATTTGCATATCTACATTGCACATGAAGAGTCAAAAATAAATGCCAGTAGACAAAGATCAGACCATTACAGATTGATAATCAACTGCCACAATACCTTCACTTCTGATTTCTCCAAGATGATCTGATTCAATGCCTGTAGAACAACATTTGTTCATATATATATATATAAATAGATATGTGTGAGTGTGTATGCATGCATGCGCGTGTGTGTGTCATATTCACCTCCCCTTCCACCCCACCCATCTTGACATGAGTTTACACACATCTTGACATGAGTTTACACACATCTTGACATGAGTTTACACACATCTTGACATGAGTTTACACACATCTTGACATGCATTTACACACATCTTGACATGAGTTTACACACATCTTGACATGAGTTTACACACATCTTGACATGAGTTTACACACATCTTGACATGAGTTTACACAAATCTTGACATGAGTTTACACACATCTTGACATGAGTTTACACACATCTTGACATGAGTTTACACGCATCTTGACATGAGTTTACACGCATCTTGACATGAGTTTACACACATCTTGACATGAGTTTACACAAATCTAAACAAAACTCAGTAAATGTAAATGTAGTATGTCACTTGTGGATCAATAAACAACTGAAGTGTATCATGCAGGGATTAATGAACAAATGTAGTGTTTCATTTATGAATTAATGAACAAATGTAGTGTTTAATTTATGAATTAATGAACAAATGTAGTGTTTAATTTATGAATTAATGAACAAATGTAGTGTGTCATTTATGAATTATTGAACAAATAAAGTGTGTCATTTATGAATTATTGAACGAATGTAGTGAGTCATTTATGAATTAATGAACAAATGTAGTGTGTCATTTATGAATTAATGAACAAATGTAGTGTGTCATTTATGAATTAATGAACGAATGTAGTGTGTCATTTATGAATTAATGAACGAATGTAGTGTGTCATTTATGAATTAATGAACAAATGTAGTGTGTCAATTATGAATTAATGAACAAATGTAGTGTGTCATTTATGAATTAATGAACAAATGTAGTGTGTCATTTATGAATTAATGAACAAATGTAGTGTGTCATTTATGAATTAATTAACAGATGTAGTGTGTCATTTATGAATTAATGAACAGATGTAGTGTGTCATTTATGAATTAATGAACGAATGTAGTGTGTCATTTATGAATTAATGAACGTTTGTAGTGTGTCATTTATGAATTAATGAACAAATGTAGTGTGTCATTTATGAATTAATGAACAAATGTAGTGTGTCATTTATGAATTAATGAACAAATGTAGTGTGTCATTTATGAATTAATGAACAAATGTAGTGTGACATTTATGAATTAATGAACACATGTAGTGTGTCATTTATGAATTAATGAACGAATGTTGTGTGTCATTTATGAATTAATGAATGAATGTAGTGTGTCATGTATGAATTATTGAACAAATGTAGTGTGTCATTTATGAATTAATGAACAAATGTAGTGTGTCATTTATGAATTAATGAACGAATGTAGTGTGTCATTTATGAATTAATGAACGAATGTAGTGTGTCATTTATGAATTAATGAACAAATGTAGTGTGTCATTTATGAATTAATGAACAAATGTAGTGTGTCATTTATGAATTAATGAACAAATGTAGTGTGTCATTTATGAATTATTGAACGAATGTAGTGTGTCATTTATGAATTAATGAACAAATGTAGTGTGTCATGTATGAATTAATGAACAAATGTAGTGTGTTATGTATAAATTAATGAACCAATGTAGTGTGTCATGTATGAATTAATGAACAAATGTAGTGTGTCATTTATGAATTAATGAACAAATGTAGTGTGTCATTTATGAATTAATGAACAAAGTAGTGTGTCATTTATAAATTAATGAACAAATGAAGTGTGTCTTTAATGAATTATTGAATAAATTTATATCATGTATGGATCAGTGAACAAATAGTATGAACATGCTTGACCTGTATAGCTTCAGAAATAGCCGCTGGGTCATTTTTGTTGACGAGCATGTATTTCTCATTCAGAGAATCCTCCATCTCTTTCTCCAAGCACCTGAAAGCAGAGCCAGGACACAAGCTATTTCCATTTCAAAGATATTTAGATTATTTTTGAAAGTATTCTTCAAGCACAACTGTGAATCTGGAATCATGTATGGATTGTTGGTGGAGGGTGTCAGATTAATAATATACAATACGCCTTATAGAGACCAGAATTGGCAAGACAAAAGTGGCATTTGCAGAGATGTGAAACAATCTAATCGATAACAATGTGTCAGCTGCAGCAAGAAAAGAGAGTTAATGGTGCTTCAAAGAACTTGTTGTATGCATGTAAAACCTGGGCAAATAGCAGACAAGCTAAAACAATATAACACAGTGGCAATGTAGTTTCTCAGAAGAATGTAAACAATATTATGGATTGACATGGAAAAAAATTAGGCAGCTGTGTCGGAAATAAATGAAAACTATAAAAGAAATGTGAATGGCCACAATTTGTTAGACACAAATATACTCAAAACTTACTAACAGCTGGCAGACTTGATGGGAAAAGATCAAAGGGAAGAAACATAGATAAATACAAGGATGACTTGGCCACACAGTAAAGATAGGACAAGGATACAGAGGGTTCAGGAAACTGTGACAAAAAAGAAAGTTCCACTGAAAACAAAAATAAACAAATAAAAACACAAAAAACACAGAAGAAGAAGATAAAGACAGAAGATTCCAGATGGCTTTTTGTCAAGGCCCAGAAGGACGCCATGCTAAGTCGTACTTTCTATCAGAGATCATAATTTATGTAGAAGTTGGGAAGACAGTGGCTGATATCAATAATTTCATACCTATAAACATATTTCTTTATTGACCCAAAAAGTTACCCAAAGTGGTACACTTACCAATAGATTTCTTTGAAAGCATCATAAGTGGCCAGGATCTGTCTCAGATTGATAACCTGAGGAAACAATCGCAGGATTAGAGAAACCCATCACAATCAGTTTACTCACTGACTGCTTCAGTTACAGAAAAGTAAATTTTATTTGTGGCAGACTCATGTTTTATGACTCCCACACATCATCATTTATGACTACCACACATTATCATTCATGACTCCCTCACATTATAATTTATGACTCCCACACATTATCATTTATGACTCCCACACATTATCATTTACAATGTTACCTTTACCTCACCATTTATGTTTCATGGCTACCACACATTACCATCTACCCTACTACCTTTACATTCCATAACAGCCAGCTAAGTCATACCTCAGAGTAGCTGCAGATAAAGAGCACCCTCTGTATGAAGCTCTGGATGCAGGTAAGGGTCAGAGGCTGAAAAGGGGAAAATTGTAAATGGCTCAAGCAGAGGACACAATAAGACAAGTATGCTTGCTGGAGAACATTGGGTGAGGAGAGGAGTGGGTCAGAGTAGCAGCGGGAAAGTCTGACCTGTGTAGGGTCAGGATAACATTGGGCCAGGAGTGGACAGAGTGGCCAGCGAATGCTACCGAGGTGGGTCCAACAGTTGATTCATGACAATTCTCACCCAGATGATCTGATTATCTATACAGATGGTTCGGTGTTGAGAGGAAAGATAAGTGCCTGGGGGTTCGTAGCGAAAGCCAACGGGAAATATTTAGTGCAAAACAGTCTAACATATGATACCACAACAGCTAGCATGAGAATGGAGGTGGAGGCGGTCACTGCAGCTTTCCCATGGCTAGAGAACAGGGTGCATACACATGTAATTTTAACAGACTCTGAAAGCATCCTGAGAAAGGTGAAGACAGGGATGCTTCAAACAGAGTGGCAAGCTTCACTGGGTAGTGAGCATACTTTGAATATTTTCTTCAGGCAATGCCGGTGTGGCGGGGAATAAAGAGACAGACAGATTGGCTGGCTCTGCACCGCTGGGTGGTGCACTGATAGATGACAAGGCAGATGTGGTCAAGGCCATACGGGAACAAGTAACACAGTCAGAAGAGAAACTAGATAATTTTGGCCTGGAGAGAATGATGCACCTGGGTGTAACCAGAGGGTCTGGCCAGCTCACTACACTCAGAGGAAAGGCAAGACGGACATAAAACTCAACTCCACAACAGCTGCACATTTCTATTCCTATGACTACTTACTTCCAGCTCTGACAACTGCCCTGCTAAATACCGTCTGACTTGGCCACGTATGTCATACCTCTGCTGTTCGGACAATGGCTCATATGAAACAAGGCTTCGGTTTGTCTGTAGAAAAATACAAAGAACAAAATATTTCTTTCTCAATTTGTTTAGTTTGATATCTAAAGGATGACTTTGTTTATCTCTTCAGATAAAACCTAATTGCTCTATGTTCTCATTGTACGTAGATCAAATGAGGAGAATTTCAGTATAGTGCACTAACTCTACTATACCAAAGACAACACAAATGAGTGTATTTCAGAACAAAGCATGCCATATACATTTATTTGTGGGCAGGTTCTCACATTATTTCGTTTAGTCTGAACAAAGGTCTAATATGCACGATCTTAAATTTTCAACTGATGATGAATAGTCAGTGTATAACTGGCAGATGGGTCTTCTTTGTTGTTTAACCCTTACCTAAGTAGGTTAAATGTCTAACTGGCAGATGGGTCTTCTTTGTTGTTTAACCGTTACCTAAGAAGGTTAAATGTCCAACTGACAACCTCATGGTCAGAAAAGAGCTCATTGTCCTAAATTCTTTACATTATAAAAATGCAAATAGTGACTCAAATTCCGTCTGTTTGAATACAACTACTCTATTCCAAAATTTGGGATTTGCACTACTATATTTAAAAACCTCGCTCACAAACAATACTATGTTTCAGAAACTGAGATACTTAGACATGTCTGATTGCTTGTATTACAATGGCTGAAAATAACTGCCTGCAAACTGACCAAGCTCCAATCTCCACAAGCTGAGAATGACACACAAGTGATTACTTTGTAGTGAGAACACAGAGTCTAAATGTTATTGCTTTGTAGTGAGAACACATAGTCTAAAAGTTATTACTTTGTAGTGAGAACACATAGTCTAAAAGTGATTATTTTGTAGTGAGAACACATAGTCTACAAGTTATTACTTTGTAGTGAGAACACATAATCTACAAGTTATTACTTTGTAGTGAGAACACATAGTCTAAAAGTGATTACTTTGTGGTGAGAACACATAGTCTACAAGTTATTACTTTGTAGTGAGAACACATAGTCTAAAAGTTATTACTTTGTAGTGAGAACACATAGTCTAAAAGTGATTACTTTGTAGTGAGAACACATAGTCTACAAGTTATTACTTTGTAGTGAGAACACATAGTCTAAAAGTGATTACTTTGTAGTGAGAACACATAGTCTAAAAGTTATTACTTTGTAGTGAGAACACATAGTCTACAAGTTATTACTTTGTAGTGAGAACACATAGTCTAAAAGTGATTACTTTGTAGTGAGAACACATAGTCTAAAAGTTACTACTTTGTAGTGAGAACATATAGTCTAAAAGTGATTACTTTGTAGTGAGAACACAGAGTCTAAAAGTTATTACTTTACAGTGAGAACACAGAGTCTAAAAGTTATTTCCTTTGTAGTAAAAACACAGCGTTTAAAAGTAGATAACCTGATAGTTTATGCTGAGAGTAGACAGAGTGAAAGCATTTAGATTAGATAGATTCAGAGTGTGAGTTGAGAGGAGATGACTGAGTGTATCTAGACTCAGAGTGTGTTGAGAGTAGACTAACTGACAAGCTGCGTGCAGAGTACTACAACCAGGATGCCAGAGAATATTACAGCTTATTGCAGCCAATCTTTCTTGTGCAAGATGACACTTCACCACTTGATGTCTGTCTTCTCTGGCTGTGTTGACCACTTGATGTCTGTCTTCTCTGGCTGTGTTGACCACTTGATGTCTGTCTTCTCTGGCTGTGTTGACCGCTTGATGTCTGTCTTCTCTGGCTGTGTTGACCACTTGATGTCTGTCTTCTCTGGCTGTGTTGACCACTTGATGTCTGTCTTCTCTGGCTGTGTTGACCACTTGATGTCTGTCTTCTCTGGCTGTGTTGACCACTCATGAGAAGCAACAGGCTTGATAACTTAGCAACAACTGGCAAGATTGATGGAAAGAGAGCAAAAGGAAGGCAAAGAAATAAAGACCTCGATGGGGTGGCCACTTGAATGGGGCAAATGAGAACACTGACCTAATCCATGATTCTGGAGATCATAGGAGATATCAAAACATGTCAAGATACGCTTAGTTACATGGCACATGGTGATGATGATGAGAATAGCGGGGTCATTATCCAGAGGATTCAAGGCTGCATGGTTAGTCGCCCTGAACTGTGAAAGTTAGAATTTGTTTTGTTTTTTGCCCCCAAACAGGAAAAAATCACAGTTTCTTATAAAGGACTGAACCTGGGTATTTGACATGAAAATCTAGCATTTTAGCCACTCAGCTGACACAACAAAAGACATTACATACTCCACTCATAACCCAGAGCATTGAACAGGATACTCTTACCTTCATACAAATGTCTACTAACCAGAGTGTCATGCATGGCCAGCTCAGCTCTCAGATGTTTGACTTCCTGCTGCAGTTTCTTCACCAGCAGCTACCAAATATTCAAACCAAAAAAAAAACTCACCACCAAATCAACATTTGTCATCCACAATCAAAACAACAACAATATCAAAAAAATCAAATATAAAAAAACAAATATTAGCAATAAAATAAATTTGTTTTTCTAGCAAACACTTGTGAAACAAACAGCTAAAACAGTTTACCACCTGGCAAAGATTAAAAACTGTCTTGACTAAAACACTGGAAAGATATTTGGTACTTCTCACATTCAGACATGTAAAAACTATGGCTCACCAGTATGGGAGAGCTATTCCAGTTCAATTACCATGTGGCTGACATCACTTTACTTAATCAGTAATAATCCCGAGACAGACAGTTCCAAAATAAATAAAGGTCTTAGGCCAGGGCTATTCAACTAAATTTCCTTACGGGCCAAAATGTTGAAAATGGGGATCATCACAGGCCAGTGGCCAAAGACCAAGTGTGAAAAGTTCACACACACACACACACACACACACACACACACACACACACACGCACGCATGCAGGCATGCACGCACGCACACACACACACACACACACATATGTATATATATATATATATATATATATATATATATATATATATATATATATATATATATATATATATATATATATATATATATATATATATATATACACATAAACATCAAGCCATGGTATCAAATATTTAACTAAATTAATAAAATTTAGATAATTTAAAACACTGTTACTGTTTCAGTTTGCTAGTACACAATTGCGTCTGGCAATCAATAGTCAGGCTGTGACTTGTGTGTGACTGGACGTTCATGAAAATCTAATTATAATCAGACAAAAAGATCACTAGCAGGTGTTCTGAGGTGTCCAGTGTCACTAGTGTTCTGCAGCACCCATCCCCAAATGCCATCAGCTTTTGTCTCCCAGTGGCAGCCATTTAGAACGTTTCTCAGTAATCTAAGTGCTAACTGTCAGGGCTGTGCTGGTATTTTAATATGCCCTCCCGTCCAATAAATATCTCACCTTCATTGACTGTCTTGTAGAGCGGTTGCTTTTATATGCCCTCCCGTCCAATAAATATCTCACCTTCATTGACTGTCTTGTAGAGCAGTGCTTTTATATGCCCTCCCGTCCAATAAATATCTTACCTTCATTGACTGTCTTGTAGAGCGGTTGCTTTTATATGCCCTCCCGCCCAATAAATATCTCACCTTCATTGACTGTCTTGTAGAGCAGTGCTTTTATATGCCCTCCCGTCCAATAAATATCTTACCTTCATTGACTGTCTTGTAGAGCGGTTGCTTTTATATGCCCTCCCGTCCAATAAATATCTCACCTTCATTGACTGTCTTGTAGAGCGGTTGCTTTTATATGCCCTCCCGTCCAATAAATATCTCACCTTCACTGACTGTCTTGTAGAGCGGTTGCTTTTATATGCCCTCCCGTCCAATAAATATCTCACCTTCATTGACTGTCTTGTAGAGCGGTTGCTTTTATATGCCCTCCCGTCCAATAAATATCTCACCTTCATTGACTGTCTTGTGGAGCGGTTGCTTTTATATGCCCTCCCGTCCAATAAATATCTCACCTTCATTGACTGTCTTGTGGAGCGGTTGCTTTTATATGCCCTCCCGTCCAATAAATATCTCACCTTCATTGACTGTCTTGTAGAGCAGATGCTTCCATACTGGTTAATAGATTTTTTTATGTCCTATCTTATTACCTTTGGTCCCCCTTATCCCACAGTTGTATTTTCTGTTCTTACGCTGGTTGGGGTTCCTTGTATATCCGTGTTTTACAAATTCCTGATAAACATTTCCTATTGACAAATTCGTTTACAACTGGTATTTGAAGATTTATACAAAAAACATTGATGGTTTTTTTAATAACTACATATCCTTGTTTTGGCAACAATTGAACAGCTCTGCCTTAGGCATTTTTCACTCCATGAATTATTTTGTTGTTGTTGATAAGGCTAAAAAACTCATTCAAAAATTATGATCCCAAAATGCTGCAGACTATCGTTTGTCAATGTTTAAATATAACAGAAGACATAGCAAATGTCTAAACACATTACTTATCCTTAAACTGAGGCCAGACTCATTTAAAACAACTTTAGCATACCCTGCAGCTCAGCCGTGGAACTATCCTCCACAACAAATCAACAACACCACTAGACCTATATTACAATCAGAAGCTGTCTGAAAATTATCTCTAAGGAGGCTAGCTCTGGCAATAAATAGCCATAGAAGTTGGATGTATTGGCCAAAAAGTGTGAAACATCACAGTCATGTTGTATTCGAGCACAACACACTCACATTTTCTGATGAAAGCAGCAGGAGAAGAGGAATATTATCCTTCAATCATTCCTTGCTCCTGTTGTGCCATCGTATGTCACATAGGGCTTGTAGTCTGTACCTCCATTCTGCTCTATTCTGTGCAATCACTTCGACATCATGGATGGAATCTGGTCCAGCACCTCTGGCTTCTCTTATCAAAATTTCCCTGAGGGTTTCCCTTGGGCCTCCTCAATCTCTTTCCCATTTCAGCACCTGTTTGGTGATTCTCTGCTCATTCCTTCTCAGGATGTGTCCACTACAGTGCTTTTTCTTTGTCTTGTAACTGTTGCTACTAATGGCTACCCAGACACTGCTCTTGTCTTCAGTGTAACATCCTCTTGCCCTGTTACTGGTGTCATTGAAAATTGGTCTTTTCATAACATTTCTGTAGTCCAACCTTTAATGGTGTCTCTGCTAAATTAGAGCATAACTTTTCTGTAGTCCAACCTTTGATGGTGTCTCTGCTAAATTAGAGCATAACTTTACTGTAACTCAGCCTTTGATGGTGTTTCTGTTAAATTAGAGCATAACTTTTCTGTAACTCAGCCTTTGATGGTGTTTCTGCTAAATTAGAGCATAACCTATCTGTAGTCCAACCTTTGATAGTGTCTCTGTTAAATTAGAGCATAACTTTTCTGTAACTCAGCCTTTGATGGTGTTTCTGCTAAATTAGAGCATAACCTATCTGTAGTACAACCTTCGATGGTGTTTCTGTTAAATTAGAGCATAACTTATCTGTAGTCCAACCTTTGATTGTGTTTCTGCTAAATTAGAGCATAACTTTTCTGTAGCCCAACCTTTGATTGTGTTTCTGCTAAATTAAGGCATAACTTATCTGTAGTCCAACCTTTGATTGTGTTTCTGCTAAATTAGAGCATTACTTTTCTGTAGTCCAACCTTTGATGGTGTTTCTGCTAAATTAGAGCATAACTTATCTGTAGTCCAACCTTTGATGGTGTTTCTGCTAAATTAGAGCATTACTTTTCTGTAGTCCAACCTTTGATGGTGTTTCTGTTAAATTAGAGCATAACCTATCTGTAGTCCAACCTTTGACTGTGTTTCTGCTAAATTAGAGCATAACTTTTCTGTAGTCCAACCTTTGATGGTGTTTCTGCTAAATTAGAGCATTACGTTTCTGTAGTACAACCTTCGATGGTGTTTCTGTTAAATTAGAGCATAACTTATCTGTAGTCCAACCTTTGATGGTGTTTCTGTTAAATTAGAGCATAACTTTTCTGTAGTCCAACCTTTGATGGTGTTTCTGCTAAATTAGAGCATTACTTTTCTGTAGTCCAACCTTTGATGGTGTTTCTGCTAAATTAGAGCATAACTTATCTGTAGTCCAACCTTTGATGCTGTTTCTGCTAAATTAGAGCATAACCTATCTGTAGTCCAACATTTTATGGTGTTTCTGCTAAATTAGAGCATAATGTTTCTGTAGTCCAGCCTTTGATGGTGTTTCTGCTAAATTAGAGCATAACTTTTCTGTAGCCCAACCTTTGATGGTGTTTCTGTTAAATTAGAGCATAACTTTTCTGTAGTCCAACCTTTGATTGTGTTTCTGCTAAATTAAGGCATAACTTATCTGTAGTCCAACCTTTGATTGTGTTTCTGCTGAATTAGAGCATCAATTACAAGATCCCTCCAAAAATACAAGTATTTTACACCTAATGTTTATTTATTGACCTTACCTGTCCTTTTTCTTTGTTCTTCTTTCAAGTTAAGTGCATCATGCTCCAGCAACTCTGTTTTCATTCCCAATGTTAACAATATGTATTTTATTGCTGCTTTTGCCATGGAAAACTTTATAATTGCTTATTTACAGTCCAGGTTTATGTGCCATATAATACATAGTTACTGTTGTTCTGTTTGTGCTATCATTACTGACCCAAGTTAACTCCCAGACAGACAAACAATTATGTAAATCTGTTACAGCTGACCTTCGCCATGAAGATGGCAGGTCATCTGATAGTCTTCTTGAATGAAGGCAGAATAAAGTAAATTTTTAAAAGATAAAATGTGTATGGTTTCATCTATGTGTAATTAAACATGTATAAGCCAGATAAGCTACATACAACTGGATCGTAGACCTCGTTGACACATGGCTCACTGGCAACACACATCATTCGTGTAGCAAACCTCAGTGTGGAAACCTGGTCAGATATTTATCAATAAAGACAGAATTAAACTTAACAGGCATCAATGTTGAAATCTGGCAAAAGAATTATAAATAAGAAACGTATTAAATTCTGCTCTTTGATTTTTTTTAACTTCATCCCCGTAGGGACACACATTTGATTAGATAAAAACCATGTAATGCTGCGCTTAGAGGGAGAAAAAGAGAGAGAGAGAGAGAGAGAGAGAGAGAGAGAGAGAGAGAGATAGAGAGAGAGAGATAAAGAGATGGAGAAAAGATAAAGAGATGGAGGAAAGATAAAGAAAGTTAGAAGTAAAAAAGAAAAGAATATTAACAGCAACAGTAAAGGATGTGTAGAAAGATGCTTTACGAAGCAACACTTTAACAAAACAAAAATAAGAAGAAGCAAGACAGTCATCTTCTGGGTGTTCAGCAGCTGTAAACTCCACTGGAAAGTTCTGATTATTTATTCACTTTTTTGCAAGCACATCCGTGTTTCAGATCTGGCTTATTTGTATGTGTACAGGGTCCTTGCCTCTCAAACAGATGCACTCTGAATTTGAAGGAAACCACCCTAATTAGTGGCCTCTTAAGACATGTTTGTTCAGGGGCGGTGGGTGCATTCTTTATTCTCCAAGATAAAGCCTTGGAAGGCAGAGGGGGAGGGAAGACAGTAATAAGTCAAGTACATATGCGGTACAACAGGCATATGATGCTAAACTCTGACTGATGTCAATATCAGACATTGCCTGGCAGCCATTTTAGATTGTGTTGACCTGGGCGCTGAGATAAATATTCTGAGAGATATATTCTGTAACACGGATGCCACACACAAACATTGAGGCAACAATATAAAGAGGTGACATACACACAAACATCGAGGCAACAATATGAAGAGGTGACACACAAACACAAACATCAAGGCAATAAAATAAAGAGATGACACATACAAACATCAAGGCAACAATATAAAGAGGTAACACACACACACAAGCATCAAGGCAATAAAATGAAGAGGTGACACACACACAAACATCAAGGCAACAATATAAGGATGTAAGAAACACACACACACACTCTCTCAATACCTGTTTCCTTCAGCTGAGACTTCTCCCCCCACATGTTTGCCACACACACAATACCTGTTTCCTTCAGCTGAGACTTCTCCCCCCACATGTTTGCTACACACACAACACCTGTTTCCTACAGCTGAGACTTCTCCCCCCACATGTTTGCCACACACACACACACCACTTAACTGTTTCCTTCAGCTAAGACTTCTCCCCCCACATGTTTGCCACACACACACAACACTTAACTGTTTCCTTCAGCTGAGGCTTCTCCCCCACCCCCACATGTTTGCCACACACACAAAACTTAACTGTTTCCTTCAGCTGAGGCTTCTCCCCAAACCCCCACATGTTTGCCACACACACAACACTTAACTGTTTCCTTCAGCTGAGGCTTCTTCCCCCACCCCCACATGTTTGCCACACACACAACACTTAACTGTTTCCTTCAGCTGGGGCTTCTCCCCCCACCCCCACATGTTTGCCACATACAACACTTAACTGTTTCCTCCAGCTGAGGCTTCTCCCCCCCACATGTTTGCCACACACACACACAACACTTAACTGTTTCCTTCAGCTAAGGCTTCTTCCCCTACATGTTTGCCACACAACACTTAACTGTTTCCTACAGCTGAGACTTCTCCCCCCACATGTTTGCCACACACACTCAACACTTAACCATTTCCTTCAGCTGAGGCTTCTCCCCCCACCCCCACATGTTTGCCACACACACACAACACTTAACTGTTTCCTTCAGCTGAGGCTTCTCCCCCCACCCCCACATGTTTGCCACACACACACAACACTTAACTGTTTCCTTCAGCTGAGGCTTCTTCCCCCACCCCCAGATGTTTGCCACACACACAACACTTAACTGTTTCCTTCAGCTGAGGCTTCTTCCCCCACCCCCACATGTTTGCCACACACACAACACTTAACTGTTTCCTTCAGCTGAGGCTTCTTCCCCCACCCCCAGATGTTTGCCACACACACAACACTTAACTGTTTCCTCCAGCTGAGGCTTCTCCCCCCACATGTTTGCCACAAGCACGGTCCCACAGCCACCTCCAATAGAGTCTTTTAAATAATGGGTCAGCTTCGACTGTCGGAAAGGCACATGGTCGCGGGTCCTGGAGGCCAGCGCTATGACCACTTGTTCCAGAAAAGACAAAGACTTGTTGATGTACATAGCTTCCTCCTTTGTTTTACCCTCAGACTGGAATAGGATAAAAACAAAATGTCTGACAAGACAACTGATGATGATGAATCATCATGAATCTACACACATGATCTATTTTGGGATGAAAGAGGCATCAAACTAGAAGTCTTTAATCTTCACGGTGGATCGCACATTTTAAAAGCTGAAGCGGAGAAGGTTATTAAAAATATGAAGCATGGAAAAGGCGCTAGTCCTGACAAAATAACAACGGAAATGATAAAATCACTAAGTAGCTTCGGTGTTGATAGCATCACTTTAATTTGTAATGATATTTATAATACTGGCTACATTCAAAAAGATTTGAAAACATCCATTTTCATCACGCTGCCCCCAAAAGTCAAAAGCGGGTGAGTGTAAAGATTATGACAGGGATGTGTGTTATCCCCAAGCCTTTTTCAACTTATGTACAGAAAACATTTTAAAGCAAGTTGAGGAATTGCCTGGAATAAATAATAATGGAAAAACAGTAAACAATCTGAGAAACAAAGAAGACACAGTGCTACTAGCAGAAAGTGAGCAGGAGTTACAAGAACTAGTTGATCAAGTCAACAGGTGGAGTCCAGAGTATGGTTTAGACATTAACACTCAAAAAACAAAAACTATGGTAAATAACAATGGAAAAGAGCGGCCAACATTGAACATCACAGTAAACGAAGATCTATTAGAACAAGCAAGAATTTTTTCCTATCTAGGACATGTAGAAACAGTTGATGGCAAAAGCGAAACAGAAATCAAAAAGAGAAGTCAAGGTTTCAACATCATCGCAATTGGGTTTCCCCATACTTGCTCCGTTCCTGTGCCAGTGCAATTGAAATGAAATGTCCCTCGCTCAAATCCAATGAAATGTCCCTCGCTCAAATCCAATGAAATGTCCCTGCGCTGTCCCTTAGAAAAAACTGGTGAATAAACAAGTAGTCCCAGAACAATCTAGAAATATGTGCATGCAGTAAATCTTTAGACCCATCAAAGATGCAAACAGCGGGGAATGGAGAGTGAGAAGCAACAACGAAATTCATATTCTGTTTAAATCACCTCTGATCCCTGGCATCATGAAAGCTAACAGACTGAAATGGTTGGGGCATATTGAGAGAATGTCAGATGACAGAGAAGTAAAAACCGTATACACAAGGGAGATGAATGGTCGTAGACCACGAGGCAGACTGAGATGACGAGTGACAGATAATGTCCAGGTAGACCTGCAAACGGTGTCACCACCTGGAAAAAGAAGGCCAGCCTGAGAGATGAATGGAGTCGGGTGATAGATATCTGCAGCAATGAACCTAAAGGTATACTCAGTTCTGCTAAATGGTTGTGTGCGGAACTCACTTTGCTGTTAAACTGTACCAAAGGTCAGTGGCCTGATTGCCTACGCCAGTCATAAAGGCGCTAGATAATGATAATAACAGAGACGAGTGCAAAAGGTCCGCACTGCTTGAAGTAGTGAGATGAGTGTTTCTCAAGATTAGCTGGTGACAGCGGCTTCCTGGGCATTGGACCCAAGCGTGACCAGCCATTGAGCTAGAGGTAACCTGTGTCCAGTCAGTGCCTCTCAGACAGAGCAGATATGTGCAGGCGTGTGTGACCGTTATTCGTAATTATGTGTACTATTGTATTATGTGGGAGAGTTTGGACTTTTCATTAGAATTTGGTGTATTTTTCGGAATACTCCAACTAAGTGTATTTAGTGGAGGCAAGATGGTGAAAGCTCCACACTTTGTGTGACCACAGTGTTAATTGACCGATTACATTTTGCAGTGTTGGTCAGTGCCAATGGCTGTTTTAAATAACCTCGCGGGTCTTTCGGTAGCAGCACTCTTGATCTGCTGCCCCGCAGGTCAGCCTTGGCTTCCACATCAATGTTTGCTGTTATAGGCTACTGGTGACCCCAGGAGTGGGCCCATATGCCGAAGGCGTTTGTGTGGACTCATGTCAAGTCGAGGCTAGTTGTTGCCCTTTGAGGTAACGCTGCCTTGGAAGTATACCACTGTGTATTTAAGAGTATTTGATGGACAGCAGTTCTGTAATCACCAATTCATCTTCATTGCATTGTGTTCATTAGTAAAGAGACTGATGCACTATTATAGAGATGACTTTTAATATTCACACTACTATCAGTGTTGGTGGAATGATGTGACTATGTGGAACTGTAATATCTAAGCACTCTCTGGTAGGAACCAAATCAGTTGTCAGACAGTCAACATAGGAACTTGTGTATCTATTTGTTAAGCATATTCATTCATTCCTAGACACTTTGCTAGAAATACGATCCAAACTTTGATTGAATCACATACTACAATAGTGCAGAAACTTGGACAATAAACGAGCAACTAGAAAAATGAATTGAGTCTCTGGAAATGTGGGTATGCAGAAGAATAGGTTGTGTTTTATAGAAACAAAAACAGTCCAAAAAGACTCTGAAAAGGCTACAAATTAAAGGAGAATTATAAAATAAATTTTAAAAATGAGGTAACAGAAATACTTTGGCCACATTAAAAGACATAACACACTTTAAAAATCATACTGGATGGGAAAGGTCAAAGGCAAGAAAGCAAGAGGTGGTCAACGAAACAAGTGATAGGACAACATCAAGAGATGGATAGGCAGCAGTCTGAGAGAGTGTACAACCAGGACAAGAGCATGTTGGAGATCCACTGCAGACAACCTTTACTGTGGAAATGGCACCTGAATGATGTTGATGAATTTTTTCTGTTTAGTATTGTCATGTGTGGCTTGAGCAGTGGCTGGCTGGGTGGTTATAGCACTGGGATCTCAAGCAGGAGATTCTGGTTCGATTCTCTGTAAGAGCTGGAGGTTTTTTCTGTTAGGGGAAAAACTAAAACCCCCACCTGCACAATTCATAGTGACTGCTTTAGCCATGCAGTCTCTAACGTTCAGGGTCACGACAACCCCTCCCGCCCTAAAGGGTAAACACGGACAGTAAAAAACATTCTTTTATAAATCTGTGGCCTAGGTGTTGTGAACACAGTTTAACAATCCTGAAATAAGGGAGTTCAGGTTAACTGAAAGTAATTTGGTAGCACACCACTTTGCATTGATTTTGGCAGCAATATGAGTGCTGTACAATTTAGGGAAATCAATGGCAAACTAGTGAACATAAAGTTACTGTGTAAATTTACAGACGGTTTTTTTTAAGAGTCAATGGTGCATGGCATTGGTAGTCATGTCTTTCTTTTTCAAACCTTTCTGCTTTGTGTGCCTTCAGTCAGTTCTGGCACATGATCTGCCATGATGTCAAACTGTCCAGCATTTTCTCTGTCAGTCTCCCAATGCCACTTATCTTCTCCAATTGTCCAACCCGATATACTCCAGTTCTTCTTCACATATCTTCTTATGTAAGCATTTCTCAGTAGTCAATTCTTTTTGTGAGTCAGTTATTGTCAAGACTTCTTCATTACTCGTATATATAAAACAAGCTTAGCGTACTCTGCAGCTCAGCTGTGGAATAATCTTCCATCGGAAATAAAAAATATCAATAACCCCTTTAGATACAATCGGAAACTATTTGATTAATATCTCACTACAGACTATATGCCCCCCTAAAAAGATTATAGTATGTTAAGGCTTTGATGTATTTCTTATTAACGGTTTTTTTTTTTTGGGGGGGGGGGGGGGGGGGGGGGGGGGGGGGGGGCTCGGGGAACTTGGTGGGGGTTAAAAACTGAAGCTTATTATTGTTAAAACTGAATATGTTAGTCGAATGCATTCCAATGTTTGTAACTAATTTTTAATTGGTTTTGATGATGTTTATATTATGCAACCTGTAAGACTTACATCATTTTTTAAATAGGCTTATTATTATACTCTTTCAAACGTTCAAGTAATGTCAGTATCAATTAGAGCACATTCCAGCATTTGTAATTAAGACTTAGATATTGTAATTTTTTTTTCTTCTTTTTTTTTTTTTTTTTTTTTTTTTTTTGTTCTTTTGTTTCTTTTCTATATTTCTCAAATTTTTAATTGTGCATTCCTCTTTTTATTATTATTATTATTAATTATTATTAACTATGAAATGAGGTAAAAATGAAACATTGTATGAAAGGAGCGGAGTGGAAGGGCAGAATGTTAGACGGGCCTGCGTGCCCAATTCTTAACCCTTTGAAAATAAAGTTTGTTCGTTCGTTCGTTCGTTCTTTAGTTCGTTCGAATTATCTGCCTAGGGTGTTCTCATCATTGTACACAACAGCCAACAAATTCTCGGGTAGGTGTGCAATGAACTGAAGCAGAAATGTAAACTAACAGTTTAGTGAATATCAAACTTAAAAACTTCAGAATAAAGCATCAAACCGAATTAACCATTTTATATTGAATTTGTAGACTGTCCATGATTCACTTCCCTACATCAGGACTGGCTCTATATAGCTTTTAAGAACTTCCACTCTATAAAGACCTTTGAAATATGATGCTGGAGAGAGAACACTGTCAGCTCCAAAGACAGGGAGCTGGGTGGCCCTCAGGCTCTATGCTCGGGCTCTGTGCCAGATGGTACACTTTGTCCCTGTGTTCAAGAGGCTGGAGATGTCTGCTGGTGTATGATATGTCCCTACCAAGGTGTGACAGATGTCCTTGAGCTATGCCAGCAGTTTATTAACCCTGTTGCTTTAGAGACAGACTGGGAACAGTTAAAAGCTAGGATAGGTCTTTAGAGAAAGAATTCACAGTCTTACGGAGGACTGACAACACAACAAGCAGCCAACCTTTGACTTGCCAAGCCTTTCTGAACCAGCTAAATCCACAAAGTTCAGCTTGGATACAGTATACTTTGCATTTGACTGTGTCCTTGATCTTGACTAGCAGCAGACAAACAAAAACAAAATGGTGCATCTTTTAGCCACCAGCTTCAAATATATGTACCAACAACCACAATAAATACAAGGACTGAGCTTGCAACAACAAAAAATTATAACTTTTACATTAATCAGAACATTCTTATTTTTAATTCTGTGCAGAAAAAGTTATGGTGGCTGTGTGATGAGGGTATTCACCTGCCAGGAGTGTATTCAAACAGAAGCAGTATTATTTCCCCCTGACCATCTCCATGTTTGTGTCCCCCCCCCCCCCCTTTTTCGCTCCCAGCACAGTTGCCAGTCCAAAAGTCTTGGGTTCAAATCTGCACTGAGCCAGAATTTGTTTCAATAATGACTTTGGCTGCCACTTTGGCCCAGCTGAAAATGTGTACCAGGTAAAGCCTGGGGAAGCAAAGGCTACAGTATCATGTTAACCACATCACTATCAAGTGCCACTTGGTCAATAAAACCATAAGCATCATATGCCCAATACACCACTGGGAGAAAAAGGGCCCTGTCCTCTAACTTATAAAAATGAGTACCCGATAATTGTTAAAGTTTATGGGACTTTTCTGGAATGGAACGGTGATAAGAGACACTAGACTGCCACCTCATGCAAGCACGGACTTGATATTTCACATTTCAACAGCAGGGTCTTACGTAGGTCTACCTCCCAGTTTACATAATAGTGTATATGATGACCCATAGAGAGCCATGGTATAGTAGCTAGCATGCTTGTTCACCTGGTGATCATAAGTTCGAATCCCTTCCCTATAAGGTAAGGATTTTTAATAAACTAAAGTGAGAAGAGAAATTTATTGCTTTTAATTTCTGTAAGCTTCTGGTGGTGAACAGAAATGGTTCTAACACTTGCAACATCAGGTAGATATTGTTCAACTTATGTCCTCCCAGAAAGTTTTTACTTTCCATAAATGTTTGAAGCCAATGTTTGTGTCAGCATCAGTTGAAGTCAATGTCTGTGTCAGCATCAGTTGAAGTCAATATTTGTGTCAGCATCAGTTGAAGTCAATGTTTGTGTCAGCATCAGATAAAGTCAATGTTTGTGTCAGCATTAGTTGAAGTCAATGTTTGTGTCAGCATCAGTTGAAGTCAATGTTTGTGTCAGCATTAGTTGAAGTCAATGTTTGTGTCAGCATCAGTTGAAGTCAATGTTTGTGTCAGCATCAGTTGAAGTCAATGTTTGTGTCAGCATTAGTTGAAGTCCATGTTTATGTCAGCATCAGTTGAAGTCAATGTTTGTGTCAGCATAAGTTGAAGTCAATGTTTGTGTCAGCATAAGTTGAAGTCAATGTTTATGCCAGCATCAGTTGAAGTCAATGTTTGTGTCAGCATCAGTTGAAGTCAATGTTTGTGTCAGCATCAGTTGAAGTCAATGTCTGTGTCAGCATTCTAAACAGTCTCATCACAACAACAACAACAACAACAACAACAACAACAACAACAATACTGCCGTGTCAGCAGCGTGTGCAGTGAAAGAGCTTCTTCACTAACAATGCCCCTTAAAAAAAATAGACTTCTTTAACTAATCAAGCAACTAATGAAAGTGCCCATTCCCCAGTCAAGCAATTGATGACAGTATTTCTTCACTAATCAACCAGCCAATGACAGTATGCCTTCACTAATCAACCAGCCAATGACAGTATGCCTTCACTAATCAATCAGCCAATGACAGTATGCCTTCACTAATCAACCAGCCAATGACAGTATGCCTTCACTAATCAACCAGCCAATGACAGTTTGCCTTCACTATTCAACCAGCCAATGACAGTATGCCTTCACTATTCAATCAACCAATGACAGTATGCCTTCACTAATCAACCAGCCAATGACAGTATGCCTTCACTATTCAACCAGCCAATGACAGTATGCCTTCACTATTCAACCAGCCAATGACAGTATGCCTTCACTATTCAATCAACCAATGACAGTATGCCTTCACTAATCAACCAGCCAATGACAGTATGCCTTCACTAATCAATCAACCAATGACAGTATGCCTTCACTAATCAAACAGCCAATGACAGTATGCCTTCACTAATCAATCAACCAATGACAGTATGCCTTCACTAATCAACCAGCCAATGACAGTATGCCTTCACTAATCAACCAGCCAATGACAGTATGCCTTCACTATTCAGCCAATGACAGTATGCCTTCACTATTCAACCAGCCAATGACAGTATGCCTTCACTATTCAACCAGCCAATGACAGTATGCCTTCACTATTCAACCAGCCAATGACAGTATGCCTTCACTATTCAACCAGCCAATGACAGTATGCCTTCACTATTCAATCAACCAATGACAGTATGCCTTCACTAATCAATCAACCAATGACAGTATGCCTTCACTAATCAATCAACCAATGACAGTATGCCTTCACTAATCAATCAACCAATGACAGTATGCCTTCACTAATCAATCAACCAATGACAGTATGCCTTCACTAATCAACCAGCCAATGACAGTATGCCTTCACTATTCAACCAGCCAATGACAAGATGCCTTCACTATTCAACCAGCCAATGACAGTATGCCTTCACTATTCAATCAGTCAATGACAGTATGCCTTCACTATTCAATCAGTCAATGACAGTATGCCTTCACTATTCAATCAGTCAATGACAGTATGCCTTCACTAATCAATCAACCAATGACAGTATGTCTTCACTAATCAATCAACCAATGACAGTATGCCTTCACTAATCAACCAGCCAATGACAGTATGCCTTCACTATTCAACCAGCCAATGACAGTATGCCTTCACTATTCAATCAGTCAATGACAGTATGCCTTCACTAATCAGTCTTCTTCTTCTTCTTCTGCCTTTCTATCCCCCAATGGAGCATAGGCCCTCAACCAACTCACGCCAAGTCGTTCTATCCTTCGCTATTGCATGGAGCTCTCCCCATGTCCTCCCAATCTTTCTAACCTTGTTCTCCAGATGTCTTCTCCATGTATTTTTTGGCCTACCTTTATTCCTATGCCCCTGTGGGTTCCAATGCAAAGACATTCTAGTAATGCTGTTCTCCTGTTTTCTCAGTGTGTGCCCTATCCAACGCCAGCGTCTTTTCCTCATTTCCTGATCCACTGGAGCCTGTTTAGTTCTCTCCCAAAGTTCTACATTAGTTATTCTATCATACCATTTTATTCCCCCTATTCTGCGCAGGCACCAGTTAATGAATGTCTGTAATTTATTAGTAATTGCCTTGGTTGTTCTCCATGTTTCCGCCCCATACAATAGTACTGATTTGACATTAGAATTAAAAATTTTTAGTTTAGTATTTCTTTTAATTTCTTTTGACCTCCACAAATTCCCTAGTGCTATGAAAGCCCCTCTTGCCTTTTGTATTCTTATTTTAATATCTCTATCAGTTCCTCCATCTTTATCTACATTACTGCCTAAATGGGTGTACGACTCCAATCAGCCAATGAAAACATTCCTTCATTAATCAGCCAATCAACAAAAGTGTTCCTTTAATTATCAACTTACTAATGGAGAATAGATCCCCACCAGACCCCCTGGTATACTTGTTCATGTTCCTGGCAGGCGTGGTACGTTACAGCATTACTATTCTTCTCTTCCCTTATACGTAAGTGTAACACATGGGTAATCTTATTAGCTTTCATCGGCGGTAAACTCTGGCAGAAAGTTCTTGTTGTCTGTCCGTTTCTGGACTTTAATCTTGTTAGCTTTCATCTGCGGTAAACTCTGGCAGAAAGTTCTTGTTGTCTGTCCGTTTCTGGACTTTAATCTTGTTCCAGAACTTGAATGTATGTGCACATCCATTTTACACATCTGGCTTATTTGTATGCAGACTGTTGGTTCCTCACCTCTCATGCAGATACACTCAGACTTAAGAGAAAACACACCTAAATAACTGACTTTTACAACATGCTTTTTGGGGAACAGTGGGTCGATTCTTTTTCCCTGAATAATGGGGCTCTGGAACCCACATGGGAAACAAAAGGTCATGTTTCTACAATATTTGAGCTGTCTTCTTACCTCAAACAACAGGTTCAAAGCCTCTTCTTCATTCTGGGCCAAATGGCAAGACAGGCCTTTAACAAAAATGCCATCTTGATTCTCAACCACCACCATGGGGTCTGGAGTAGGACTTGGCTCCTTGTTGCTGCCAATGAATGATTCCGGCAGGGACCCCAGGAGGTCAAACATGCCTTCATTGTAGATTTCCAGGTAGGACACCCTAACCAATTAAAAATATGTCCCATATTATTGTTGGATAAACTACTGTAAATTATTTTATATTCTGTAACATATAGCTACTGTGTAAATGGTGTTCTTTTCTGTAACGAATGGCCCATTGGATAAATTGTGCCAGTCTAATATTTTCATAGTTCAGTCAAGACAAGATGTGGTGGAAATGAATGGAAAAAAGGAAATCAGCAATCATCTCATTAATATTTGCAAAAGCTTGTACACACATAGTAAATGCTGCATAAGATTGAAGGCAGGATTGTCAAGAACTTTTATAGTGAACTCTGATGTCCGTCAGGGCTGCATACTATTGCCGCTTCTTTTTACAACATACATGGAGACCATTTGTAAGGAAATGAACTTTAATCTTGAAGAAGATATTACAGAATTACTATTCATCGATGACCAGGTACTCATAGCAAAAAGTATGGAATGCCAAAAGAACCAGCTAAAGAATATAAAGAATATAATATGAAAATAAACACTACGAAGACAGAGACAATGGTGATAGGAGGACAGAAGACAATTTAGAAATAACATTAAAAAATAACATTAAAAAACAACAACTCCTCAAGACTAACAGAGGAATTTAAGTATTTGGGAGCAATTTTCAATCCGATGGAAAACTGGACAGAGAAATTAGCTCAAGGTGTGATAAAGCTAATCAAGTAATGGGGCAACTATCTCCCCTGTTGACACACTAGTAGATATCCCGGAGTACTAAAGTGAATCTTATCAGAACTATTTTTTGGCCAACACTATGGTATCAGTGACAAATGTGGACACTTACATCCTTCAATAAATGTAACATTGTGACAACAGAGATGAAATGCCTTAGAAGAGCTGCAGGAGTTTCAAAGAAAGACAGAATACAAAATCACAAAATCAGACGAATGCTAGGAATAAAGCCAATGCCCTGGTACTATCTGCCACAGCGAGCCACACTAAAACGTTACAATGGGTATAAAGCAAGTGGAAGACCTCGGAAAAGATGGAGTGATGGCGTTAAGAACAGCCTTACAGAAATGCAAGCCACTGCAGTTAACACATTATTTTTAAGGACAAGAATTTAAAATAAAACAATAAAGATGTTTGTTGGAGTTTCCCATTTTTATCCATCACGAAGAATTTGCTGAGCACTGATGACTTCTGATATCTTATCCTTATGCAGATCTTGTTAAATGTCATAGCCTACTGACTATATGTAAACATGCATGCTGAGAAAGGTAGAGACAGGTACTCTACATGTAGAGTGGCAAGTATTGCTTCAGAGGTCCCAGGCAGTTAGCGTCCTATGCACATTTTCTCCAGGTTATGCTGGTGCATTGGGAAATGAACTGGCAGACTGACGACCTGATTCCGCACCATTTAGTGGTGAACTGATGTATGACAAGCTAGATTTTGTAGGGGTCCTTTGGGAGAGATAAACAGTGAGGAGGCAAAAGAGATAATTGCAGAGGAGAATGGCGCTGTGAGGAGTTACTAGGGATCTGGTCGATGTTCAACATTCAAGGGAAACGCGAGACAGATACACAATCAGACAGTTACTGGTGCTATCATAATTGTAACTCTTGGCTTGCTGCTGAAAATTAGAACTGAACGCTTATGAGTATGTACTGAGCACTGTGTTGTCAATTCTTAATTCAACGTTCAGTATTCTACATATGGATACATAACTTGTCACATGTTTGTAGCTGCATCAGAGGCTTTCTGAGTTGCAATAGGCAGAATTTTCACAAACTGAGAGTGAATTATGTGATCTTGGATTGCAATATCTCTTCCAGTTCACAAAGTTCAGTTTTGCAGTAATTCTTGTATCAATGCTGAAAGCTGGGAATTTTGTGCTATATTCTTTGCAGGCAACCAGCAGTTTTAAACCACAACACAATCTGTGTTCCACATACTTGTGGGTGAAAACAAAGAAGAAGAAGAAGAAGAAGAAGAAGAAGAAGAAGAAGAAGAAGAAGAAGAGAAGAAGAAGAAAGAAGAAGAAGAAGAAGAAGAAGAAGAAAAAAAGAAGAAGAAGAAAAGAAGAAGAAGAAGAAATATTGAAATTGTAAGTAATATCATATTGAAAATTGTAAGTAATACGTTTGAAACTATCAACAGTTCCTGAAATATTGAAATTGTAAGTAATACATTTGAAACTATCAACAGTTCCTGAAATATTGAAATTGTAAGTAATACATTTGAAACTATCAACAGTTCCTGAAATATTGAAATTGTAAGTAATACATTTAAAACTAACAACAATTCCTGAAATATTGAAATTGTAAGTAATACATTTAAAACTAACAACAATTCCTGAAATATTGAAATTGTAAGTAATACATTTAAAACTAACAACAATTCCTGAAATATTGAAATTGTAAGTAATACATTTGAAACTATCAACGGTTCCTGAAATACTGAGATTGTAATTAACCAATTAAAAACTATCAGCGGTTACTGAAATATTGAGATTGTAAGTAATCTATTTAAAACTATTAACCGTTTCTTAAATATTGAGATTGTAATAAATACATTTAAGCTTATCAACAGTTCCTGAAATAGTGACATTAAAAACAATTTTTTTTAAACTGCTAACCATATTTATCTGTCAAGGGTTGCTGTGAATGTTTATAGCAAATGAGGTTCTGATAGACACAAGTGAGGTCCTGGTAGACACAAGTGAGACAGGTGAGGTTCTGGTAGACACAGGTGAGGTTCTGGTAGACACAAGTGAGGTTCTGGTAGACACAAGTGAGGTTCTGGTAGACACAAGTGAGGTTCTGGTAGACACAAGTGAGACAAGTGAGGTTCTGGTAGACACAAGTGAGACAAGTGAGGTTCTGGTAGACACAAGTGAGACAAGTGAGGTTCTGGTAGACACAAGTGAGGTTCTGGTAGACACAAGTGAGACAAGTGAGGTTCTGGTAGACACAAGTGAGGTTCTGGTAGACACAAGTGAGGTTCTGGTAGACACAAGTGAGGTTCTGGTAGACACAAGTGAGGTTCTGGTAGACACAAGTGAGGTTCTGGTAGACACAAGTGAGGTTCTGGTAGACACAAGTGAGGTTCTGGTAGACACAAGTGAGGTTCTGGTAGACACAAGTGAGGTTCTGGTAGACACAAGTGAGGTACTGGTAGACACAAGTGAGGTTCTGGTAGACACAAGTGAGGTTCTGGTAGACACAAGTGAGGTTCTGGTAGACACAGGTGAGGTTCTGGTAGACACAAGTGAGGTTCTGGTAGACACAGGTGAGGTTCTGATAGACACAGGTGAGGTTCTGGTAGACACAAGTGAGACAGGTGAGGTTCTGGTAGACACAAGTGAGGTTCTGGTAGACACAAGTGAGGTTCTGGTAGACACAGGTGAGGTTCTGGTAGACACAAGTGAGGTTCTGGTAGACACAAGTGAGACAGGTGAGGTTCTGGTAGACACAAGTGAGACAGGTGAGGCTCTGGTAGACACAAGTGAGACAAGTGAGGTTCTGGTAGACACAAGTGAGACAGGTGAGGTTCTGGTAGACACAAGTGAGGTTCTGGTATACACAAGTGAGGTTCTGGTAGACACAAGTGAGGTTCTGGTAGACACAAGTGAGGTTCTGGTAGACACAAGTGAGGTTCTGGTAGACACAAGTGAGGTTCTGGTAGACACAAGTGAGGTTCTGGTAGACACAAGTGAGGTTCTGGTAGACACAAGTGAGGTTCTGGTAGACACAAGTGAGGTTCTGGTAGACACAAGTGAGGTTCTGGTAGACACAAGTGAGGTTCTGGTAGACACAAGTGAGGTTCTGGTAGACACAAGTGAGGTTCTGATAGACACAAGTGAGGTCCTGGTAGACACAAGTGAGGTTCTGGTAGACACAAGTGAGACAGGTGAGGTTCTGGTAGACACAAGTGAGGTTCTGGTAGACACAGGTGAGGTTCTGGTAGACACAAGTGAAGTCCTGGTAGACACAGGTGAAGTTCTGGTTGACACAAGTGAGACAGGTGAGGTTCTGGTAGACACAGGTGAGGTTCTGGTAGACACAAGTGAGGTTCTGGTAGACACAAGTGAGGTTCTGGTAGACACAAGTGAGGTTCTGGTAGACACAAGTGAGGTTCTGGTAGACACAAGTGAGGTTCTGGTAGACACAAGTGAGGTTCTGGTAGACACAAGTGAGGTACTGGTAGACACAAGTGAGGTTCTGGTAGACACAAGTGAGGTTCTGGTAGACACAAGTGAGGTTCTGGTAGACACAGGTGAGGTTCTGGTAGACACAAGTGAGGTTCTGGTAGACACAGGTGAGGTTCTGATAGACACAGGTGAGGTTCTGGTAGACACAAGTGAGGTTCTGGTAGACACAAGTGAGGTTCTGGTAGACACAAGTGAGGTTCTGGTAGACACAAGTGAGACAAGTGAGGTTCTGGTAGACACAAGTGAGACAGGTGAGGTTCTGGTAGACACAAGTGAGACAGGTGAGGCTCTGGTAGACACAAGTGAGACAAGTGAGGTTCTGGTAGACACAAGTGAGACAGGTGAGGTTCTGGTAGACACAAGTGAGGTTCTGATATACACAAGTGAGGTTCTGGTAGACACAAGTGAGGTTCTGGTAGACACAAGTGAGGTTCTGGTAGACACAAGTGAGGTTCTGGTAGACACAAGTGAGGTTCTGGTAGACACAAGTGAGGTTCTGGTAGACACAAGTGAGGTTCTGGTAGACACAAGTGAGGTTCTGGTAGACACAAGTGAGGTTCTGGTAGACACAAGTGAGGTTCTGGTAGACACAAGTGAGGTTCTGGTAGACACAAGTGAGGTTCTGGTAGACACAAGTGAGGTTCTGGTAGACACAAGTGAGACAGGTGAGGTTCTGGTAGACACAAGTGAGGTTCTGGTAGACACAGGTGAGGTTCTGGTAGACACAAGTGAAGTCCTGGTAGACACAGGTGAAGTTCTGGTTGACACAAGTGAGACAGGTGAGGTTCTGGTAGACACAGGTGAGGTTCTGGTAGACACAAGTGAGGTCCTGGTAGACACAAGTGAGGTTCTGGTAGACACAAGTGAGACAGGTGAGGTTCTGGTAGACACAAGTGAGGTTCTGGTAGACACAAGTGAGGTTCTGGTAGACACAAGTGAGGTTTTGGTAGACACAGGTGAGGTTCTGGTAGACACAAGTGAGGTACTGGTAGACACAAGTGAGGTTCTGGTAGACACAAGTGAGGTTCTGGTAGACACAAGTGAGGTACTGGTAGACACAAGTGAGGTACTGGTAGACACAAGTGAGGTTCTGGTAGACACAGGTGAGGTTCTGGTAGACACAAGTGAGGTACTGGTAGACACAAGTGAGGTACTGGTAGACACAAGTGAGGTACTGGTAGACACAAGTGAGGTTCTGGTAGACACAAGTGAGGTTCTGGTAGACACAAGTGAGGTTCTGGTAGACACAAGTGAGGTTCTGGTAGACACAAGTGAGGTACTGGTAGACACAAGTGAGGTTTTGGTAGACACAAGTGAGGTTCTGGTAGACACAAGTGAGGTTCTGGTAGACACAAGTGAGGTTCTGGTAGACACAAGTGAGGTTCTGGTAGACACAAGTGAGGTACTGGTAGACACAAGTGAGGTTCTGGTAGACACAAGTGAGGTTCTGGTAGACACAAGTGAGGTTCTGGTAGACACAAGTGAGGTCCCGGTAGACATATTTGTATCCTGACAAACAAACAGAATGTGTGTGCCGTGTTGATATGATCTACTGGGCCTACGTGAGAATAAGATAATCATCAGACAGGCACTGAAATTGCAGATAAATAGATTCCGAAGGTTAGAACATTAAAACAAAAATACTAAAATCCAAAAGTGCCTGGGCGGATTCCACCCATGATATTTAAACAGTTGCAGAGCACAGAACAGAATGGAGGACTAGAGTGTGAGCATTATTTCTGTGAGGCTGCTGAGACTAGACTCAGGCTGACATAAATAAAGCAACAACTCAGGCCACCATGGCATCCTACAGCAGCGAAGTCCATCCTGACAGCTCCATGCAGCACAAGTTACTAGTGATCTTAATGAAAAAGTGCTGGAACACAAGGTGCAGTTAGCTCAGGATTGACTACAACGCTCTGAATATCGTCACATACTTTAATTGACATTTCATTCGTGCCCACCAGCAGGCACACACACAAATTAGTATGCAGAATACATTACACAGTGTCATCATAATGAATTGGCATAGAAAAGCTTACATAAGAAAGACTAAGCTCAAGCATCCTTCGAATTAATAACAAGTGGCGCTCTGGGAACGCAGACAAAATGTTGCTGCGGTCTAAAGGCCCACATGCTGAAACCTCACTTCAAGTGCCTACAAACGAGCTGACTAAATGGTGCGATGCCTGCGATGCCTGTTGTCGCAATATTAGTGGTGCCCTTATGTGATTAAAATTGATTGTGTGTGCAACTGCTGATCTGTTGGTGCCTTCTGCTACCATCAATGATGAACTGCATTTCTAATGTCGGACTGTTTGTGTTAGCACTTCGGATGGCTACCATATGCTTTTAATGTGTGTGTATGCTAGATATGCTGAGACAGCAGTCTCTCAATCTTTCCACAAGGGACTGTGATAAACATTCTGTGTGTTTTTCGTTGGCACAGGAGCGGAGCAACTATGGGATGACCCATTTGCTATGAAGCTGAAACTAAGACTACCAGACAACTATACATACTTGGTTTGCTGAAAATAATAAACTGAATCATAAGTATGAGTCACTAAGTCTCCACGGCATACACTAGTGAGCAAAAACAAAAAAACAAGTGAGGAACACAACTCATCCTTAAAGTGGAAAGCTGCCCACACAACTCTCTTTTTCTTGAGATTTGCCTGAGTTTATTCCATGTGACCTAGCTTTGGCCACGTAGACACACGGGTAACTCACCAGTTATGTCCAGGCTTAAACTCGACTCTTGGTGATTCTTGCTTCATTCCTGTGCACTGCTCTCTACAGACAAGTCTCTGGTCTCAGTGTTAACTCATGTATTATTAACCCTTCTACGCAGGATTATCAGAACAATCTATCTATTCTCAATTAAATACGTTCTCAACACACAATACTTAAGTAATGGCACAAAAGAATAAAGACAACAATGGTGGTGATGTTGCTACTGTGATCTACAAAAGGAAACAAGCATTCGTGAAAATCTGGGAACTATGAAGATTTACAAACCAAACAAATGACACTGTCTAAACTAACCATTATAGCCTTGCACGGATGAGCTCACAATGTGTGCAGCTACAGTGCTATAGACCACTTCCTGGTCAGAGTTGTAGAAAATACCATCCAGTTTAAATGACCAGTCAAGAATTTGGTTGTTGACAATCCCTTTCTTGGGGTCTCTGCGTACATGAATGTTAACACTCTGCAATGAAGATGAAAATAGGTTATAAATGGTCATTCAATACAGTACACCCAGCAGACGACTAGAGAGTACATCTTCTGTGACATGAACAAACCACTGTAAGGTCTGTTCAACAACTATCTTATCTGTGACATGTAACAAACCACTGTAAGGTCTGTTTAGTATGTATCTTATCTGTGACATGAACAAACCACTGTAAGGTCTGTTTAGCATGTATCTTATCTGTGACATGAACAAACCACTGTAAGGTCTGTTTAGCATGTATCTTATCTGTGACATGAACAAACAGCTGTAAGGTCTGTTTAGCATGTATCTTATCTGTGACATTAACAAACCACTGTAAGGTCTGTTTAGCATGTATCTTATATGTGACATGAACAAACCACTGTAAGGTCTGTTCAAAAACCATCTTATCTGTGACATGTACAAACCACTGTAAGGTCTGTTCAACAACTATCTTATCTGTGACATAAACAGACCACTGTAAGGTCTGTTCAACAACTATCTTATCTGTGACATGAACAAACCACTGAAAGGTCTGTTCAGCATGTATTTTATTTGTGACATGAGCAAACCACTAAGGTCTGTTCAACAACTATCTTATCTGTGACATGAACAAACCACTATAAGGTCTGTTCAACAACTATCTTATCTGTGACATGAACAAACCACTGAAAGGTCGGTTCAACAACTATCTTATCTGTGACATAAACAAACCATTTAAGATCTGTTCAACAACTATCTTATCTGTGACACAAACATACCACTGTAAGGTCTGTTTAACATGTATTTTATCTGTGGCATGAACAAACTGCTGTGAGGTCTGTTTAGCATGTATCTTATCTATGGAAAAATAACATTAGTCACCCTGGGGGTCAAAACCTGAATGCCTTCCTTGGAACTGCACATCCTTCTCACAACATTCCCACATTTCAGGAACAGCTGTCTGGACATGGAGAACATGTCCCCTGTGTCCAGCATGTCCACTGTGTCCAGCATGTCCCCTGTGTCCAGCATGTCCCCTGTGTCCAGCATGTCTCCTGTGTCCAGCATGTCCACTGTGTCCAGCATGTCTCCTGTGTCCAGCATGTCCCCTGTGTCCAGCATGTCCCCTGTGTCCAGCATGTCCCCTGTGTCCAGCATGTCTCCTGTGTCCAGCATGTCTCCTGTGTCCAGCATGTCCCCTGTGTCCAGCATGTCTCCTGTGTCCAGCATGTCCCCTGTGTCCAGCATGTCTCCTGTGTCCAGCATGTCCCCTGTGTCCAGCATGTCCCCTGTGTCCAGCATGTCTCCTGTGTCCAGCATGTCCCCTGTGTCCAGCATGTCTCCTGTGTCCAGCATGTCTCCTGTGTCCAGCATGTCTCCTGTGTCCAGCATGTCTCCTGTGTCCAGCATGTCCCCTGTGTCCAGCATGTCTCCTGTGTCCAGCATGTCCCCTGTGTCCAGCATGTCCCCTGTGTCCAGCATGTCCCCTGTGTCCAGCATGTCCCCTCTGTCCAGCATGTTCCCTGTGTCCAGCATGTCCCCTGTGTCCAGCATGTCCCCTGTGTCCAGCATGTCCCCTGTGTCCAGCATGTTCCCTGTGTCCAGCATGTCCCCTGTGTCCAGCATGTCTCCTGTGTCCAGCATGTCCCCTGTGTCCAGCATCTCTACTGTGTCCAGCATGTCCCCTGTGTCCAGCATGTCTCCTGTGTCCAGCATGTCCCCTGTGTCCAGCATGTCCCCTGTGTCCAGCATGTCCCCTGTGTCCAGCATCTCCACTGTGTCCAGCATGTCCCCTGTGTCCAGCATGTCCCCTGTGTCCAGCATGTCCCCTGTGTCCAGCATGTCCCCTGTGTCCAGCATGTCCCCTGTGTCCAGCATGTCCACAGTGTCCAGCATATCCCCTGTGTCCAGCATGTCCCCTGTGTCCAGCATGTCCACTGTGTCCAGCATATCCACTGTGTCCAGCATATCCACTGTGTCCAGCATGTCCCCTGTGTCCAGCATGTCCCCTGTGTCCAGCATGACCCCTGTGTCCAGCATGTCCACAGTGTCCAGCCTGTCCCCTGTGTCCAGCATGTCCACTGTGTCCAGCCTGTCCCCTGTGTCCAGCATGTCCCCTGTGTCCAGCATGTCCACAGTGTCCAGCATATCCCCTGTGTCCAGCATGTCCCCTGTGTCCAGCATGTCCCCTGTGTCCAGCATGTCCCCTGTGTCCAGCATGTCCACTGTGTCCAGCCTGTCCCCTGTGTCCAGCATGTCCCCTGTGTCCAGCATGTCCACTGTGTCCAGCATAACGTCTTTTTGTGGAGTAAACTGGGTCACTATCACTGTCATTTGTAACTTGTAGAATAGTACAAAAAACAATAGCCAGGAGCCATGGTGTAAGAGTTCACTGACTGACTAACCAGATAAAGGCTGACTGGCCAAATAAATCTGAATCAGATAAAACAAAACACAAAAAATTTTTACATGGGTGTGCTGCACTAATAGAACTGCCAAGTTCCTATTGCCCATAGGTCTAGTCTTTTGTGTCACAAACCATCGCAAGCTAATAAACGACCTCCAGGTAACGTTCTCTGTGGTAATGTTTACGTTAAGTAAGGCCACATTCCACATGTTCAGATAAAATGGTCAACATTACCACGGATGTTTTTGTATACCCATTAGTGTGCATACATGTGTCTGTGTTATTTCTTTTTGACTATGGTAGTGGTGAATTTGTAGGTGACTGTGAAACACTGTGAGAGTGAAACAAGGTGACAGTGAAACATCGTGACAGTGAAACATTGTGACTGTGAAACATTGTGACTGTGAAACACTGTGAGAGTGAAACAAGGTGACTGTGAAACACTGTGAGAGTGAAACACTGTGACAACCGCGGTACGGATGGGGGCTAAACAAGATGGGCGGGACTCACGAGCAGCAGCTACCGCATCTCCTGCAACTTCCTCTAATTTATTTGCTCGTGAGTCCCAGGCATCTAGTATAGATCCCCATCCACGCCGCGTGTAGCGGTGTGGGGTATACTGTCGGCGGTGAGTTTAACAGCATTTTGCACATGCCAAAAAGTGAGAGGACAACAACAACACTAATCTGCGTCGGAGGGCGTGGTCTCCCCGCCATGTGGCTTTTATCGTCTGTAATGTTGCGTGTCTCGAAATTGTCAATGGTCGCTATTATCATCTGCTAGTATCATCTGCAGAAACGCTTGAAATTGTCAACAGTCGCGACTATCCTCCAAATAATGGGCACAAAATATGGCGTCCAAAAACAGGGCCTCAGTCACGTGTGCACTTCTGGTGACTTACTTTGCAAACTTCGGGCGACTACCGCCACCGCTGAGAGTATCCCCCACGCCGCTCATGCAGCATGGATTGGGGCTAAACTAGAACGCTGGGACTTATGAGCAAAGCTGCAGGAGTTGCGGAAGCTGCTGCTCGTGAGTCCCAGCCATCTAGTTTAGCCCCAATCCACGCCGCGTGAGGGATACTCTTGGCGGTGATGGTAGTTGCCAGAATTTCGCAAATTAAGTAGCCGGAAGTGCGCAACTGACACGTGACTGAGGCTCTGTTAGGGTGTTTTTGCGGCCGACATAATATGTGCCCCTTATTCGGAGGATAGCCACGGTCGCTATTATCGTCTGGTAATATTACTAATATCATCTGCAGTGTTGGGTCTCTAAAAATTGTCAAGTAATCCTAGTTTTGCCGCTATTTGTTTCGTGGCAGAAAATCCGCATTTTACACACGACTGAGGCCCTGTTAGGCTATTTTTTTGGCCGCCATAATGTTAATGCCGGGGTAAAAGTTCGGAGGAGTGAAACATATTTAGTATGAGTACATTGATAGTATACCTTTCTGTCTCCCATAAGTTCAATATTTTCTTCAGCAAAGTTCGCCGTGGGTCTAAAGCGACCCCATACGCAAACTTTTCTGTTCCTGCTGGCCATTCTCATACAGAAACAGATAAATCCCGTCCTAAAATAACCTTTAATTAGTCATTGGCGAGTAGCTACTTCACGAAAACAACAAATTTGCAGCCATGTTGTATCTTCGTTGTCAAGTTTAGTGCGCATGTCTACTTAGTCGGAAGTTACAATCAGGGCTGCCAATAAAATTTTTGTCAAAACCCCAATCCAAGATATAAATTCAAAATAGAAGTTAAGAACCCAGAATTTTAAAACTTTATTTTAGATTAATTAAAATGAACATATACTCATCTCTGTCTCTAAATGCTGTTAAGCTGGGGGCGGGGCTGAGGATAAGCTGTCAGTCTCCATGAAATACCCTCAATGCGCGTGTCTCCAACTCCTGGCCTCTCCGTGGCGGTGATGTTTATACTTACAGAAGAAGCGAACGCGAATCTCTGGCGCATTAATCAGACGTTTCGGGTAGATGAGCCTCGTCAGTACAGGAGTGCAGCTTATCTAGGAGAAGGGAAACTCAGATTCCAAACCCTTACTGCCTTGTGGTCATACTCTACCTTGGGAAAGTGCTTCAGGAGTAAACCCAGAGGGACAATCTGGAGCCGGAATACCTAAGGCGGTTCAGCATTGTTTACAGTGTTATTCCGTCAGTTCCTGCAACTTCCTCGGTGCCGAGTTGTATCGGCTCTTACCATTGCCTTGATATCACTGACGACGTAGAGAGCGGGTACCTGCTGCCTGGGCAACAGTCTGTAGTTCAAATCTAAATATCCAGGCCTGTGCCCTGGAGAGGTCACTCCAAGGATGCCTAACAGCTTCGATACAACACAAGAAGCAGTACTCACCGGTTATAAGCCTGTGCTCAGTTGACGTAGAGAACGGCACAGAAGTTGTTTCAGACGGTGGGAGAGATCATCGTAGTTTCATTGGACAGCTGGGCAGCCCTAGTCAGTGAGGTGTTGTCTCGCCACGATCCGTTTGCCTTGTTGGGTACACAGAGCTTAGGGGACAACCTGACAAATCCTTGTACCTACACACAGAGGCTCACAAATTTCAGGCAATCATTGCCTTGATGCAGATATATATAGAACTATGGTAAATTTCTCTGCAAAATTTTCAAATCTCACTATAAGAGTCTGGTCAAACAAAAAGCTGACTGATAATACCAAAATGGAAGTTTAAAAGTCTTGTGTCTTGGGCACTCTACTGTACGGCAGTGAGTCCTTGACTATGCACCTCAAGAAAAGAGACTGAATACCTTCTACATGCGCTGTATGAGGCGCATCCTTGGTATATCATGCGTGACCTTGTCTCCAACGAATGTGCACTCACAATAGCAAAAATATCATCAGTATAACATCTACTGAAGCAAAGACGTATGCGCTGGCTGGGACATGTCTTCCACATGGGGGATGGTCGTATTGCAAAGGACCTCCTGTATGGGGAACTGGAAACAGGGAACAGACCTACAGGAAGAACAAAGCTACGTTATAAAGACATATGCAAAAATGACCTGACATATACCAACATGGGCACAGAGACTTGGGAAAAATCAGTTGCAGATGGACTACTATGGCGATAGAAAGTGAAAGACCGATTGTTGCAATTTGAAAGAGACCAAACGCAGCGAGCTTTAGAGAGTTGACGCCAGAGAAACAAATCATAGCGTGGGGGTATCTACCCTTGTGTGTGTATTCTATGTAGCAGAGACTCTCACTCCCGCCTCGGACTTTACAGTCACAGCAGATGATGTTCCCAAAGCACATCTCCATAGTCCCCCGGCACCGACGGATTCTATTTTACTCACCCTTATTACAATGTTACTCTAACAGCTGTTTGTCTTCGCTAGTTGTCACAATCTCTTTCTGCTTTTCCACGCAAACATTTCTTACTATTTGCTTTCTGTAGAGTTTACCCTCCCCCCCCCCCCCCCAAAAAAAAAAAAATTAATTCGAATTATATCTACACTTGCTTCAGCAGCGTCAAAATCTCCTATGTTCAACAGAATCTATATGTAGCGTGGATTTTGTGTGTGTGTTTCGAAGTGTCCATTTACACCATTTTCAGTAACTGAAGTCTTGATCGTTGTTAACCCAATTAGCACTATATATCCCAAAGATAACCCTGAGGGTTGTATAGGATGCTTTCGAAAAACTTATCGTTGTTGTCCTGTTCTAGACAATCTCTAATTCCGCTTTAGTGACCCGTTCTGCTATGAAACACAGATGGGCATACCATTTTTGATTCTTTGGTGGCGTCATTTGTTCACTCATCTTGAATTTAATAAGATTATAATCAGTGTAAATTGTGATGGCATTGTTTAACACGTCACAACACAGTAACAACCCTAGTGACAACCATAGGTCCCTGTCTGTGGTAGCTTTCTGCTGATCTGCTTTCTTTCAACTGAAGCGACGCTACATTGTCAAGAGCTCCAAAACTCGCTTCAGTGATTACATATCATGTCACTTCTTTCTTCTGTTAAATTAACCGTCAACAGTTCTATGTTTGGTCTAATTGATATCTCGGTCTCTAGTATCTGTTACTTCACAGCCTATACTAATCTGGTCCTTTTGCTGTTGCACCTTTGTATCGTGTTACATTCATTTTCATACAGACCAACACTTTCACGGAATTTACTTAAGTGTTTGTAGGACATTCCAGAATATAATGTTATAGTAAAACTATAAATACATAGAGTATTCTTCTTAAAATATTTATTAAATCTAGTTTTTTTTTTTTTTTCCAGTAAGACTTACAACCCTTGATTTCCCACAATTTTCAAAAAAAAAAAAAAAAAAAACCTAAGAAACCCAGACGGCAACCAAAAAACCCAGATATTAGGGGCAACCCATCATTTATAGCCCTAGTTTAAATATGTAGTATCGGCAAGCATTTGCCCAGTTTTATTTGGTCCTAACATATTTTTTTATCACTTAAATGATGAATATAAAATGGGATGAATTCAAACGGCGTGAAGAAATAAGAGAATCGTATGGGCAGCCACTAGTAAGTAAAGTAAATCAAAGGTATCTTTTTCCACGCCTTTAGGCATATAGGGCTAGACCTATATTTTATAGAGCAATCGGCGCAAGATGAGTGATATTGTCAGCATAACGCCGGCCGCCTTTACTTTCCGGGACTGCACCCGGTACTCACTCAAGCCTGGGTCGACCTGGGAGCCATTTTTGAAAAAAGTCCGGCTCCGCCAGAGAGCGAACCCACGACCCTCTGATCCACGGCGAGCGTCTAGTCGTATTGAATCGCTTCGTCTATCAGAAAAAAAGGCTTGTCACATTTATCAGATTATCTACCCTCTACGCCATGTAGGGTTTAGGTGTCAGCTGAACAGTCTACAACTTAGACCTCACAGTGTGCATGGGCCTTACTTAATTC